CAAAGACTTTAGGAGATATGAGACATCTGCGGCATGACCTTCTACAGCCCCTCCTGCTCAACAAAGTTCATCAGACTTAGGCATACTAGAGGTTATTGACTTAAACCTCTAACCAGTGCAGCTTGTTGAGAAGTATTATTACTGTTACTTTTCTTAGCAAACAAACTAACAATTTTCCAAAACAAGTGGATAATAAAACAAACAAATATATCATCGTTAATGTTAAATTCTTAAATTTAGAGTAATAAGTTAGAATATTAAGACACTATAGGGCAGTCAAATGAACTACAGACATGGGACAGAATCTTTATCTTAAGTGGCATTTGGAAATATGGGTATATACAGGCTATATAATGCAGCTCAGAAGTGGCATAAATGCAATTAAAATAGCATAAATTAAAAGAGCATAAATATGAAATATATTTGAATATAGAAATAGGAAATGTTGGAAAATTAAGCAATACTTTAAATATGAAATTAAAACTGCCAGTAGGTAATGACAAGTCACTGTGAGTCCACTGAATCATTCATTCAAATGATTTGTTCAAAATGGCTGATTCTTTCAGAACAAATCAAGTGACTTTATAAATAAATGTCTCTATAAACAATGAATCACTGACTCACCTAATTCATTCAAAAATGCTGAATCATACAGGAACGCCACTGTGTCAAACGGAGATGCAAAGGTTCTGCTATATTTTGTTTGTAACTCTTTTTGTTGGCAAAATACTGAAAAAAAAAACAATATTCAGTAAATATATCTAAAATGTATGCCACTAAATATTAACTTAAACATAGCCTATTTATTTGTCTATTTATTTGTCTATTCATTCTCTTAATTCTTCATTTGTTTATTATATATCTCTGGATAAAATGCAGATATGGTATTTCAAAACCAGACAGTCTGACCTAGAACCGTATGGATGACCACCCTACCCAGAAGCTGTGTCAAATCCATTATTAATTATTATTAAATTAATTTATTTCATTATCAATTTTCTTCATGTGTTTCTTACTCAGTCTTAAAACATCAATATTAAGTATTTTATGGTTTTCACCACTCAATTTAAAACAAAAACAAATTGTTACAGTGAACACAAAAGTCATTTTGTGTCTTCAGTTTGCCCTCTTTGTGTGTGTCTATCAGATTCAGAGACATTGTGAATTCACTGAACGCCCACTTTCAGCGCTAAAGAATTTATGGAAATAAGCTGACATCTTTGAGTGCGGTCAGAGCAGATGCATGCAGCATTCTGGCATTTTCTGTGTAAAGGGAGGATCCTTAATAGTTCATGTGCCAATAGGTGAATGTGTGTGATACCCTCATTTCACACATTCGTTCTCTGACATTGAACATCTCATTACAAATACATACTGATGTAACCTTGACACATCTGCTGTATTAACTCTATTTTCACCATCTCACTTTGATTCTTAGTTATGATGTAGAAGAATTAAATGCAGGTCAATATTTTTTGGCAGCAGCTTAATGGTTAAATCCCTGAGGACTTAACTAGATAGATGTAGCTGGATTAAGGCCCAAAGGGGGTTATTTGAACCACTGCAACGATTAACTTCAGGTTGCTCCAGGGGGACGAAAGCTGTAATGTTACTGTAAGTTACAGTACCATAAATAAGAAACCATTACCAATTAACCTACATAACTGTATGGAGAAAAAAAAGTGAGTGGCCTTCACCCATGCAAAACAGGCATCGACGTGTGGCTGCTAAGGTGATTTTAGCATGTATAGTATGTTTAAGTGCTTGCTAGAGTGTTCCGAGTAAACAAATTCTGAGTTAAATATACTCATTCTCATGTTTCTGTGATATGTGATTTGTGATCTGCTATTTTTTTCCACCTAAAAGAAATATTAACAACATATTTCTGCTCATTTAATTAATCATTTATGACTGATATTTATTCATTTCATTGACTTGTGTGGTATATTGAGTTATGCGACTACATAGAGGTGTAAAGGGGAATTTTCTTGGATGTCAAAATTTCTTAATAAAGACTTTGAGTTTCTCATAAAGGAGTCGACCTTTTGAACATGCAGCAACATCACACACTACGTATTTGGAGCTGGAATGTCTTTCTCGGAAAGAAACAAGTAATCTTTAATTCATTGGAGAACAAAGTGTCCCTCTGCACATTGAAAGACACGTCACTTAAATATGTCGTCACTTCAATACGGCCTTTGTGGTCCTTGAGTTTCGCATTTCGTCAAATAAGTTGTTTGTCCCCTGTAGCAAAACTGTGGGTAGGAAGCCACAAGGAAGAGAATTGTGAGTACTGTCAACCATAAATTTATAGGCCATTTACATTTATGTTTCTTGCTGGTGCTTTCTTACAAAGACATCTAGGAAAGTGCTTATATTGTGTTTTACTGCATTTTGTGATGAATATTAATTACAAAACTCAATAAGTACAGTTTCATTTTTCATGATTATGCCATGTTTATTGTCCATCCACTGAATTACTTCAGCAGTCCATCACCAACACCTCCAACCTGGGGAAAGTGTGCATTGATCTCTGTGATGGTTGTGTGTTCAGCTCAGTGAAAGCAGTGTTAGCCGTGCGGCTGTTGAGAGTGGACGTTTGTTTCGGGTTTCTCATGAGGAGTGCCAAATCACAGATAATAACAGCAATGTTTGAGACAACGCACAGGGAGAGAAGCCAAACCACTTCCTTTTACTGAACACAGTCCAATATCCACTCAAATGACCTCTCTGAGGTTTGAGGGCCTGTTTTATAAAAATCTTGCATATATAGCCAGTATCTTTTTTTTTCACTGCTTAATAATTAATGTCACCCGTTTGGATTTTCTTGTGTAGGTTCTTGTTTTTCATATAAAATGTGATTTCTTTTAATGCCTACTTGTGTAGGCCATTCTATTGCAGGTAAATTTCGGTGTTCCACAAGGTTCCGTTTTAGGCCCTTTGTAATTAATTTTGTGCATACTCTCTTTAGGTGATATTACTAGGAAACTTGGCATTAGCTTTTATTATTATACAGATGACATACAGCTTTATATCTTCTTTTCAACATAGTGGATTGCATACTTCCTTCTAATTAATTCCAATTAAATGGGAATACAAATCTTTTTTTTTACTACATCTTTCAAAAAGTTGGACAGACTACAATCTGTCTTGATGGTACCACTGTTGACATCAGTAGAACATTTCAGAACAATGGAACCATCTAGAATTGCATGTCATTAGAACCCCCATTAAATTGGCACATTTCTTATATCTCTAACACAACTTTATTACTCTAAAGGAACATCCTCTTTATTCATGATGCTGAAAAGTTAGTTCACATTTAATGACCTGATAATTGAAATGCACTATTGGCTGTTTGTCTAGTTGCCTCCATATATATTCTGCAGGTAGATTTAGCAGGAGTATAAGCAGCTCAAAGTGTAACTAAGTTCTGTCAGCCAAATTGAATCATTTACTGGTTATGCGTTAAGTTCGATATCAGTTATATCAGCTCTTCATTGTCTGTTAGGGGAGTCGGTGAACTTGACTGACCTCATACATTTGAGATTTAAACCAGTTTAAAAATAAAGTCAATTAGTTTTTCAAGCCAGACTTCTCTACTAGTCTGGTGACTATACAGTAGCTGTACTAACTAGTAAAGCGAACATTACTTTTAACAAGCCTGTTACAATATTCTATTTCTCACAATAAAATTTTATTGATTATGTTACATTGTTTCATTTTATATAAAGTAAAATGTATTTTGTCATTTTAAGTATTCTGATGCATCATTTAATTTACTTTGAAAAAAAGCTGATTGGTTTTAACAGGTTCTAATTATGTAACACATGAGTTACCTCCAATGCTGATACTAATTACCTCAAATATAGTAAAACCTCTTTAAAGGGTTTGAGCTAATTTAATGAACAGTTGACAATCAAAGAATTATTATCATATCCTAATCATTAAAACTATTAATTGACCATTTTAGATTGTTTTAAATTAAATATAACACTCTTGGTAAAGAACCTGGCTAACCTCAAAAAAAAAAAGAGCTAAAAACAGATTTAAAGTTGATTCCAATTAATCTTACAAGCCAGACTTCTGGCAACTAGCACCTTGTTTGCCAGTGAAGTTGTACCCAACTAACTACTTAAAGAAATGACAGAAAAAAACCTGACTGAACTGATATGACCTTCACACTCCTCTCAGCATAAGCACATACTCAGTCAGTACACACTCTATTCAGCTCTGATACCTTGTTCCTTGCTTGCGTGATCACACAAACCCAACCAAGGAGCTTGTAGCTCAGCTTGTATGTTTTATTTGGCAATGACCTACATCTGCAGGGCAGAGGACCACAAAACACAACAGACTTCACATCTTCATACAGCAGTGCACCAGCATTTATCAGAGGAAATTCATCGTTTTTAATGCACAAACAATCTGGCTGTGCACCAGCAAAACTATATTCTTATTATCTTCTTTAATTATTCATTCTTCTTTAATTATCAATACTGGCAGTGCATGCCATTTCCAATTATAGCGAGTGCAGATGTATTCCACATTCATTAAATAAGCATAGAAATTGAAGACCGTCTGAATGAGAGCGAGGTGCTGCTAACTGATATCAGATCAAAACCCGAATTAAAACTACAGAAGTGGGTCATGTTGTGTGATATGGGCACTATAAGAATCACATATCAGGCCTTAAACTCCACAACCAGCCTACGTTCCCTTAAGGGTCTTGGCTCCTTAAGCTGCTGACATTTACTCACTCTGACATATGGCTATATGTTCAGATTTTGTCTATTAAAATGTTTAGTACACATTCTGGTGTTAAAAGTTGCACTACCATTGCCAAAACAGCTTTGAATTGTCTAATAAAAAACACATAACACTTCATATTTGCAGATGTTTGGAGACAGTCTTAGTAGAACTGTTTTAAGAAAGTGTTTACTGAAATCTTGCAGTGGCTCTCAGCGTGTCTAGTTTTCTTCCACATCATTGGCTGTTGGTGTCGATGTGGATTATTCTGGTCAACCCACGGTCATGCTGAAGAATGGACTCTACTGCATATAAATCAGGTGACTGCACAAGTGGGGGGTTCTTCTCCAGCGCATCAGGACGGCACAAAGCCGAGCAGCCCTCAGTCGCACACAGACTCAACTCGAAACAAGGACTTCGATTGTCTTCTCGCATGCAGAGACTGTCCTTTTTTGGGGGGAATATTCTAGACTTGTATTATTCAGCTTTACTTTTGAAAGTGTTGAATTGTAGTTAGTTGTGTTTCGTGGTTTTTGAACACTTTTTTTGAAATTCTGAATTGAAGTCAGAATGCTGGATCCACTGGCTGAGTTGAGAAGAACCGGAGGCTTTAGGCAGTGTGGTGGCCGGTTGTCCTGGCAGGTGCGTTGGATCTTGTACAGTGTGTGCGTACTGACGGTAATAAACTGTGCCGGCCTGGTTCTGCTCCTGGTTCAGCAGAGAGAGCTGTGGGCTCATCTGACTGAGGTGGAGAGGCAGATGGTGGAGATTTCTCAGAGCTCCGTGGTGGAGTTCATGACACAGGTGAACGAAGATGAGGCAGAGTATCAATACTCCAGAAACAAACGCAGCCGGCAGCATCGAGGGACACGACCCTTTGAGGAGCATGAGGGGAGTGTGGGAGAGGAAGTCTTGGGAGATTTCCAGTATCAGTATCCGCAGACGCATGGGCCGGTTTACCAGCACAAAACAGAAGAGCAGGATGGAATGATGATGATGATGACATACTCCATGGTGCCAGTAAGAAACTCATACCGACATGATTGATTTATTTATGGAGATTACACAAAAGCAAACTGTGGATAAAATGTGGAAAGTGTCAACTTTAATCTATTTCTCCCAGACTGCTTTCCCTATGTTGAGGGGAAAAAAATAAAATAATAAAAAATAAAAAAAACAAAGTCAAAACCTGATGATAGCTAAGTTAAGCTATAAAAAACTATTACATACTTAGTAGTAATGCATTTTTTGTAAGGTTCTTTATTTTATCTAGTTGTAACTGTAATATGTCTGAATCTCTTGATAGATGGAAATGTTTTTTTTAATGAAATGTTTCTTATATATTATATACTGTAAAATGATATTTTACATTTTATCATACACTGTAAGAAAACAAAAACAAAAATGAACAAACAACCAAAAAGTCTAAGTCTAAATATCTGTAGAAATACCTGTAAACTCAACATTATGTTATAAGTCTATAAGCATTATCTAACCCTAACATATAACAGAATGAAATGCAAAATTCAGAATATGGATAAAACCTGCAAAAAATCAATATGGGAAATTCCTTTACATTAACACATTACATTATTTACTTTCTAAGGGTGTAATGAAAAAAAATATATATAGATATAAGATTTGTGTGTTATCTGTAGACAATTATTCTTTTCATAAATGAAAAGTAAATGCTTTTAGCTCCTTTAAATTTGTTTTTAGTTTTGCTCCAGCAGTTACATAATTGGATTCTTCTAGAATATTCTTCAACACAGACCTGCAAAAACTTGAGTACAATATATGTTTCAGGTTAAAATTCTTCTGGACATTTGCAACAGTACTAAAGGTGTCTGTCTGACCGGTGAGTATGGGTTGTTTTTATTTTCACAACTTATTATCTCCTGAATCTGTTGTCTCCAAGTTTACAGTTTGGTTTGCTTTTGGCTTTCACAGGGCCACCAGGACCACCAGGAATTCCAGGTAGGAAATGAACTATTTTAATGTTGTTTATGGGTTATATTCTACCACAGGAAAAAAAAAAATGATATGATGATCATAATGTAAAAAAGTGTTTTTTTTTGCAGTCGTCCTTGTTATAGGTGTACTTTTTTCTGTGTAGTGAAATACAGTACGACAGTGCAAGAATTACAAGAAAAAAACTATTTAAAATATTAGCACTTTTTACTTTAGAATTTCACGTTTAATTCAATCTGTTACTTGCCATTTCTTTGTACCCAATTGTGAAATTGTCCAAGTGAAATTTATTTCTACACCAATTTTCAGTGTAGCATTTCAAATAATGTGTTACTCACATAATCGTACTTTATGGAATTCCAGGCTTGCCGGGTGTGGACGGAATGCCGGGGTATAACGGAACAGATGGAATTCCAGGGTTGCCAGGAGAGCCTGGAGCACATGGAAAACGAGGAAAAAGAGGTCAGCTACTGTATACGCAAAAGAACATGGAAAATCCATCCATCATGCACATGAATGAATATAGTCAAAAAGGTCTTCTGAAAGAAAATGATCTCCTTTCAAACCTCTTCCCGAAAATCCGGCTGCTTTCTATAGCTTTTATCATCCACTCAAGAAAATAAGAGGGGAATTTTATCCTGCTTTAGTCACAGCAGGATTCAGAGAGACTCCGAGATCTCCCACTGAATAAAGCAGAACTCATGATAACAGCTGACTGACTGCTCTGTTCTGAGAGCACAAGAGCCCACAGACATTCTAGAAGTGCCATTCAGCAAATCAATTATGTAGAAACTGAATGAAATTCTTTATACCGTGGTGGAGAAATTACTAGAAAACATTTGAATACATTTTATGATGATTCCATACTTTAAGTTCCACAAGCAAGTGATTATTTATTGGCAGTTTATGCTTCAAAATGCACCGTTTACCTGGCTAGGTAGATGTTACAAGCGGTTTAGAACCAACAACCACCCAGAACTCCCTAGCAATCAACCACACTTGCTTTAGTTCAGAAAATGTATCGATATAGGCCTTAAACTCCACAACCAGCCTACGTTCCCTTAAGGGTCTTGGCTCCTTAAGCTGCTGACATTTACTCACTCTGACATATGGCTATATGTTCAGATTTTGTCTATTAAAATGTTTAGTACACATTCTGGTGTTAAAAGTTGCACTACCATTGCCAAAACAGCTTTGAATTGTCTAATAAAAAACACATAACACTTCATATTTGCAGATGTTTGGAGACAGTCTTAGTAGAACTGTTTTAAGAAAGTGTTTACTGAAATCTTGCAGTGGCTCTCAGCGTGTCTAGTTTTCTTCCACATCATTGGCTGTTGGTGTCGATGTGGATTATGCGAAACAAGGACTTCAATTGTTTTCTCGCATCCAGAGACTGTCCTTTTTTAAAGGGGAATATTGTAGACTTTTATTACTCAGCGTACTTTTTGAACGTGTTGAATTGTTATTGGACAGGTAGGATCTAAACCATCTTAAAACCTGCCCTTGAATACCTTTATAGTTTTGTAATCGATGTATGTCATGATCTATAGTGTCGAACGCAGCACTAAGATCAAGTAAAACTAGCAATGAGATACAGCCTTGGTCTGACGCAAGAAGCAAGTCATTTGTAATTTTAACAAGTGCAGTGTCTGTGCTATGGTGGGGCCTGAAACTCTTCTGAAATTCTTCATAGAGATCATTTTTTTGCAGTAAGGAGCACAGTTGAGCAGACACAACTTTTTCTAAAATTTTAGACAATATTTTTTTATATTTACTTAAAATGTTTGTAACACTTTATTTTAAGGTGTGGTTACAAGTTACATATACTTACTATAGCAATAATAGTATATTATGAGTAGTAAAAGACGATGACATATTACAAATAACCAACCCTAAACTAAACCCTAATCTTAATCCTATAGTTTGTACATGGAGTTAATTAATATCTACTAAAATAAAGCATAACCGTAACATTTATTACATGACTGTAATAATGTAATAAATTATTCTGAATGATTTGAGAACTGTGCTGCAGGAAGTCATGAATGAATGATTTTTTGTACCTGTGTGTAGGTCCTCCAGGTGAGAAGGGTGAGCCTGGTGAGAGAGGAGAGCAAGGATATCCTGGACCCCAAGGACCCCCTGGAGAACAGGGCGAACCTTCAAATGATGTCATTGTAGAGGGTAAAGACAAATTCTGTTTTTAATAGGATATGAGGATGCTGGAATATTGTCACAGCTAAAGGGTCTTGTTAAGCAAGACTATATTGACACTGCATGGTACGTAATTGTATAATTACACTGTTAACAAGGACACCTTAAAGTAAAGTGTAACCCAATTTTATACACGTTTAAAATTTACTGTATAGTTTACTGTAACAGTGAAATAAATGGACAGACTTTAAAAGTTTTGGTAACAATTTTAGTGTCTTTTTTACACATTACCTGCACTTATTATTGTAATAACATTAAATTATGCATAATTGCATCCAACTAAACCTAAACCAAACCCTAATCCAAACTCTAAGTACATGTTAATTAATATTACGCAGTACTTAATTGTATAATTACACTGTAACAAGAAAACCATACAAAACAAGTTTGAAGCACTAATATGCATCTATCTTGGGGTAAATAAGGTACAAAAATTGTTACCAAAACTTTTAAAAGTCTGTCCATTTATTTCACTGTTACAGTAAACTACAGTAATTTTTAACATGTATAAAATTGGGTTACACTTTACTTTAAGGTGTCCTTGTTAACAGTGTAATTATACAATTACGTACTGAGTAATATTCATTAACTACATGTACTTACTATATGATTAGGGTTTGGCTTACAAGGCACAATTGTAGTGAATTGTTCAACTATATTTTAGGTTGAACTATCACTAAGAAAAGTAATAGGTAATAAAAGTAATAGGACATTTTTATTTTATATATATATA